GGAGGAGGAGGTGGAGGAGGAGGAGGAGGACAACGAGGAAGAGGAGCAGGTGAGGAGGAGGAGGAGGAGGAGGAGGAGGAGGAGCATGAGGAGCAGGAGGAGCAGGAGGAGCAGGAGGAGCACGAGGAGCAGGAGGAGCACGAGAAGCAGGAGGAGCAGGAGGAGCAGGAGGAGGAGGAGGAGGGAGTAGCAGGAGGAGGAGAGAGGAGGGAGGAGAGGAGCAGGAGGAGCAGGAGGGTGAGGGAGGAGGGAGGAGGGAGGAGGGAGGAGGGAGGATGAGGAGGGTTCCCCCCTTCTCCTTTGCGCGTTTTTGTTTGCTTCGGCGTGCCTCCGCCGCCCTTGTGCCGCGGGGTTGGCCGAGAGCCGTCCGCACCCTCCCCGCTGCAGCGCGCGTCGCGGTCTACGTAGCGTTCGGTGGGGCGTGTCCCTTTACAGGAGGCGCATCCAAAAACAGTAAGACATACTCTTGGGACGATGTGTTGCAGATGTGTTGGCTATCTGTGAGTATCGTTTGAATTTTGTTTCGAGCCTTGGTCCAACATCCCCCTGTAGGAGGACATGCCCGACCGAAGTCCAGCGTGCTCCCACTGCCTTCGCCAGAGCGGCCAGGAGTGGGCACGGCGCGCTCGTGTTCATGCCGTTTCCACTCCGGCATGGGCCAGGGGCCGTGGCTCGCAGGCCCGGAGTTGTTCCGCACACGCGAGAGAGCGATGGAACACAATCGGACCGAGCAGAGGGCACGTGTCTTCTCTTCATGTTCCTGTGCCTCCTCCTCCTCTTCGTCGTCGTCCTCCTCCTCCTCTTTGCCTTTCCCCTTCCTGCGCCCACCCGCGTTGTTGTAGAACTGGTCCGTCGGATCGTCGGTTTTGTAGCACGTGCGAACGACCTGACGCCATGCGCCAGGGTGGTTTTCGGCGCGCGGCTGTCGGAGGTCTCGGGAGGGCCAGATCCAAACGCGCAGGCCGGTTTTGCCACGCTGCATGCTAAGATCGGCAAGCCGTGCGCCAGAGGCGCCCACTGTAATTTTCGCGAGATAACCCATGTTGTTCTCCCATCCCGCGGGCACTGCAGGCCTTGAAGGATGCCAGCGTTCGGAGCCAGCGCGCTGGCGCGGCGAGGCGACCGGCGAGGGACGGTCCGGCGCGCAGCAGAGAGACAGAGGGAGAGCGAGAGGGAGAGCGAGAGAGAACCTTGACGCGGGCGGTGCGCGCTCTCTCGCTCGGTTGTCCTGCTCCCCCATTTCCGCTGTCGAACCGAATTGCTGCGCATGGAGAGACAGGCGGCTCAGCGCAAGGCAATGCTGTCGGTAATGTATACAGATGCGCGTGCATACATACACATAAACATGCACATATACATTTACATGTACACATACATGCCCATACACATAGTGTTAATATACATATATATGTGTATACATACATATATGTATATATATGTAAATATTTGGACGTTACACGCATGAGTATGTTCATACGTGAAGGGTGGGTGCGTCGATCGCCGTCTGCTACACGTAGCCTCTTGAGGCTCAAAGTTTGGTGGGGATTCGGGTGGCCCACGTGCCGTCAGCAGAGCCCCGCCAGCCCCCGCGCCCAGGGCGCATTCGGGCGCCCTCGAGGGCAGCGCGCGCGAGGTCGGGTGCGCCAGGTGGTGCCCGACTTGGATCGCGCCGCGGGAGGGGAGGCCGCCGACGGCGCCTCCCTCCCCTCCCCGCGGCGGCGGCGCGCGCGGCTGGGGCGGGGCGGCGGAGGCGGCGCTCGCGGCGAGCCGTGGGGTCCCGCCGTCGCCGCAACGGCGCGCGGGGCCCATGCCGGAGGTCGTTGTTGGCCGACGTCCCCACCCCGGCCCCGCGGGCCCGCCCTGCTGCGGTTGCTGCCGCCGACGAGCTCCCAGTCGGGGATGTGGAGCTGGTCGCTCTCGAGGACGGCGAGATGTACGCGTCGGTCGGCTACAGCAACAGCCTAGAGGTGCAGTGCCAGTTCGTATGGCTTTGCCAGCGGCACTCGCGCTGCGGCAAACTCGCACGGGTGAGGCTGCTCTGGAGCGACGACAGCTATTGGGATTGGTGGTCGCAGTGCGCGGGCGAGCGGGGGGCGATCTCGCTCAGGCCTCTCGTGCACATCTGCGAGGGTCCCGTGCCGCCGTGCGCCGCCGAGCTGCCGCCGAACTGTACGGAGCTGGTCCACACTTCGGAGGTGGTCAGGCTCACGGTCGAGGCGGCGGCGGAATTCTGGCTGCAGCATCGGGCCACCAACCCAGGGGCAGTGTGGCCGCAAGACCTCCTGGGGCCGCCGCCTGGAGTTGCTCGGCCCGCCGAGGCTCTCGCCGCGGGTGCCCACCCGTTCGAGGACCTCTTCGGCGAGCAGGACGAAGAGCCCTCCGCCCCCAGTGGGGTGACTGCCTTGCGCTCGCGGCTCATGGACCGTTTCGCAGCGTTGCGGGACCGCGACAAGGGTGCCGCACCCCCCGCCGAGGGCGCGGCGCGGGCGGCACCCGCGGTCGAGGCCAAGCCCAAGGTCAAACGGTCGCTGGCGGAGGTGCTTTCGGAGCGCGCCACGACGGTTTCTCGTGGGTGGCCGAAGCTGCTGGCGACGCCCTCCCCTCCAGATGGGGGCGCGCGTGGCTCGGGCGAGCGGGGGCCGACCGAGGGCGCGACGGCCGCGGCGGGTGCCTCCCGCGCAGCGCGGGGCCTTGCGAACGTCCTCGCACGGCTGCTGGACGGGCGCCAAGGCGGCACCGAGGAGTTGAGCCTGGAGGGCGTCACAGGCGCGGACGGATCGCTGATCCCGCGCGGGTTGATGTCCAGGCGTGCTCACTGCCGCAGGGCTGCCACCGAGCAGCCTGGGCGCCTCGCCGAGGCGAGCTTGGCGCAGATGGCGGGCTTCCTCGGCTCGCAGAAAGGGGGGCGCGCCGTCGACCCGCAGGGGGCGATCGTGCTGCGGTGGTTCCTCACGGCGCACCTCCCGCAGCACCCCGTGCGGGAGATCGGCGTGCCCGCGTGCCGCGAGCTGCGGGCGCCCGCGGAGGCTCTCGACCTCCTGGCGCAGTGGCGCTCGGCGGCGGTTTTGGACCTCGTCGCCCAGCGGTTCATGGCGCCCCAGGTCGCGCCCCACGACGGGAACTGGTCAGGGGCGAAGTGGCTGGAGCTCACCCCGCCGCGCGACGAGCCCACCGCGCTGCGGGGCGAGGAGGGGCAGCATATCAGGGGCATCCAGGCGGGCGAGCTCAGGTTGGACGAGCTGACCGCCAAGCTGCGCGAGCCGGGCTAGGGGCCTGGCCGGGGCGATGGGGAGCCCGCAGCTCCCGCCTCGTCCTGCAGGCCCTGCGGGGGTCGTGCCCCCCGCGAAGGCTGCCCCGCCGCCGAAGCCGCCAGCGGTGCTGGGAGGCGAGCTGGCCGGGGCGAAGGGCTCGAGGGCTCTTCGCGCCGCGCAGGCGGGCAGGGGGGTCTTCACGGGCGCGCGGGCCGACGCCCGCGCTGCGACCCCGAAGAAAAAGGGCGAGTCGAGCAAGGGCACCAGGCTCGCCTTGCGAGCGTCGTTGCCGAGCTGAGGAAGAAAGGCCCCCCTGCCCGGGCGGCGGCCCGAGCCCCCTGGACGGTGGAGCGGCGAGCGTCGCCCCGCCCGAGGTGCCGTTGTCGGGCGTGGCCCAGATTCCCCCTGCTTGCGGCGACAGCGGCGAAGGTGTAGCAGCGCCGAGCGCCGCGGGGGGGGGCGCGGGGGCAGGCGACGCGCGGCCGCCGCTGGAGCTGGGCGCTGCCCTGGCCGAGACGGTCGTGGCTGGGGGCAGCGCTGCGGGGACTGAGGCGGCGCCGCCTCGGCCGCTGCCGCTGCGTGAGGTGTCGGAGAGCATGGCGGCGTGGCGCAAGAGTTCACCCGCTGAGTTTGGTCGGCCCATGCGACGAGTCGCCCCGGCAGTCAAGCTCGCGAGGCCCCCGCGGCTGCATCCCGGCACCCTGGGCCGCCTCGCAGGGCAGGCGCCCCCATTCGAGGGGAGTGGCGAGATGGCCCGGGTTCGGGATGTGCTGCCGCTGCCTCTCCCGCCCCTCGAGGAGGTTGCGAGGTGGGCCCAGGCTGCCGAGGGCTCGCGGCGTCGCCTCGCACCCGTGGCCAGGGCGGTCGCGGCCGAGGCGTGGACCTGCATGGGCGTGCTGGGCTTCAACCACATGCGCTGCGGGGTCGCTCGGGGGTCGCTCCGGCTCGGGGCGACGCCGACGCTGGCGCAGGAGACGGCCATGCAGCGCATCCGCTCGCGGGCGACGGAGTTTGCCCAGCAGCCCTTCGAGACCGTGGCCGTCGCTTCCTTGGCCGACGCGGTCGCGACCTCGTCAGTGGACTACAGCGGGGAGCCCATGATGCGCGCGCCCCCTTGCGCCCTCGCGGAGCTGGCCCCAGGCCTGCCGCAGAGGGAGCACGCGGCGACCCTGAGCGCGATCGACTTCGTTGACCACGAGGTGGCGCGCTGGCTGGCAGACCCCACGCTGGCGCTCAAGGTGGAGGCGGACTTCCCTGACCCTCTCCCGAAGGCGCGGGTCAACGTCGGCTCGCAGTTCGAGTGGGAGGCCCTGGAGATGCACCTCGTGGAGCTCGGGATCTTCACCGTGCCTCCCGCCGAGGAGCTGGTCCACGTCCGCGGCGAACCTCTGCTGAATGGGCTCTTCGCTGTGGAGAAGAAGGGCGCGCCTTGGCCTGGGGCCAGCCGCGCCACGAGGCTCATCCTGAACATGGTACCTGGCAAAGCGCTCATCGGACCCCTCGTGGGGGGGGCGGCCATGCTTGCCGGATCCGCGATCTGGGTGTCGCTGCACATCCCCGAGGGGAAGCTGCTCTTTTGGTCGGGCGACGACCAGAAGGGGGCCTTCTTCGCGCGGCGGGTGCCCCGTGCATGGCGCCGCTACACGGCGGCGGGGCGGCCCCTGGCGGGCTCGCTCGGTGCACCTCGCGTCGGCGGCGATCGCGATGGGTTGGTCTCTGGCGGCCCCCGTGCACCAGCACATCCACAGGCGGCTGCGCCGCCTGCCACCGCCGCTGGGCGCGGGGCTGCCCCCGCAGGCGGAGTGGCGCGAGGGCGCGCCGCGGCCCGTCGCCGCCGCTGCGGAAGGATGAGACCCAGCGCGGCGGCAGGTCTACATCGACGACTGCGACGCGCCCGAGATCGTGGAGGATGTGCGCGCCAGGCGCCTGATAAGCTCGCCGGCGGAGATGCAGGTCAGGGCGCGAGCCGGCTACGACGGGGCTGGCGTCGCCTACCCAGCGGAGAAGGCTCACTGCAGACAACTTCGGGTTGAGCGCATGGGGGGCCGACGTCGGCGGCGAGTCGGGCCGACTGGCCGCCCCCCTGGCCAAGCCGCTCGAGGCGATCGCGCTGTGCCTAGCCTCCTTCAGGCTCGAGGCCGTGCCGTGGCGGCTCGCCATGGCGATCCTCAGGCGCTTCGCTAGGCTCTTCGAGTTTCGCAGGCCCCTCTTCAGCGTGTTCAACGAGGTCTGCAGGCTGAGCTCGCAGCGTGGCAACGCGAGGTTCCCGGCGGCGATGCTCGAGGAGCTGCTGGCCGTCATGCTCGTGATGCCGATGGCCGCGACCTCGCTGCTCGCCAAGATCGCAGGCATGGCCACGGTCTCGGACGCGCCCGAGTTCGGCGGGGGCGCGCGCGCGCGTCGGTGGGCCTCCGAGCCGAGGCGGAGGCCAGCCTCAGCAGCGCCTCGACGCTGGATGAGCAGATGCCTGCTGCAGCTGCCCGCAGGGCCTTCGGAGCCCTGGGCGGTCGCCAACCCCCTCATCCCGCGGGCCGTGGTTCCGAGGGCGCCCAAGGTGCTCCTCGTTGGCCTGTTCGACGGGGTTGGGGGCTTGGCGATGGCTTTCCCGCGCTTGCCTGCACGGGTCATTGGCTACGTCGCGGCGGAGACGGACGCCAAGGCGCGCAGGGCCGCTGGCCAGGCGCGATCGACTGGGGCGACGTGGCGCGAGCGGCGGCTGCTGTCGTGAACGAGCTGCGGGGCGCCTTCTGCGACGAGGCCGACCTCTGCGCGGCGGCCGCGGGCAGCCCCTGCCAGGACCTGGCCAGGCTGAACGCGTCGGGCGCGGGCTTGCGCGGCGCGAAGCCCAGCCTGTTCTACGAGGCGCCCCGCCTGCTGGAGCTCCCCAGGGCGGCGTGCGGTCACAAGCTGAAGCGGTTCGTCGAGAACGTCGCGAGCATGACGGCGGAACAGCCGGGCTGAGATCAGCAGGGCTCTCGGCGTCGAGCCCCTCCTCGTGTGTTCGTCTGTCCTCGTGCCCTGCCGACGTTCCAGGCTGTGCTGGGTGAGCTGGGGGCCGCGCGCCGCTGCCCCGCTCTCCGTGGTCGCGAGGGGCGGGCGCCGCGAGGTCCGCGGGCCGAGGGGCCCCGTCTGCGAGCTGGCCTGGCAGGACGAGGGAGCCCGCTGGCTGGGTGCTCCAGGCCTGGTCCCGACACTGGCGCGTTGCAGGCCGCTGCCGAAGTCCCCCTCGGCCCCGATGGGGGCTGCAGCAGGCCTCGGCGGCGGCGCGCGCTCGCTGGGGTGCGGACTCGTTCCGAAATCAAGTTGCTTTGTGCGAAAAGCAAAACTTGCTGCTGGATTGCGACGCAGGCTCCGCCCCTCGCTCCCCCCCCCCCCCCCCCCCCCCCCCCCCCCCCTCCAGCTCGGAAAGGGGGGGCGCTCGGCTTCGATGCGCGCAGGGCTCGAACGAGCGCGACTGCAGCGACGCGCGGGCTTTCTTCCTGGGCAACAGCTTCAGCGCCTATGTCGTCGCATGGCTGGCAGGCGGCGCTGCTGGAGGCGAAGGCGCAGGGCGGGCCGCTGGAGGTGCAGGAGCAGGTGCACTTTGGCCCGCGCCGACCGTCGCGGGACGCCATGGGGCGGCATGAGAACGAGGCGGGGGGCCCAGACACCTTGGCCCCGCGACGGCTGGTGGCGCACGAGCTGGCCCGAGCGGAGTAGGGCGGGGCGCCGTCGAGGAGGTTGCGGCGTGGCTCGCGGCTCAGGACCGCCGCGCCCAGGCCGCCCGCGCTGCTGCTCTCGCGCCGCGGGGGCCCCCCGCCGCGCGTGCTCGGCTGAGGCCAGGCCCCCTGCGAGCCCAGTCGCTGTTCCTGTTCCGCGTGGGCGTTGCGACGAGGCGCCGGTATTCCACTGCGGCCGGCCGCCTGCTGGAGCACTACGGCGTCGCAGGAGACGTCTTCGAGGCGCTGGGCCAGGACGCCGACGCGCTCGTCTCAGGGTACCTGGAGGTCCTCTGGGCCTCGGGAACGGGCATCGCTGCGGCGAACAAAAAGGTGGCGGGCTCGCGTTTCTTCAGCCCGCGTCTCAGGCGCCGCTCGGATCTGAGCTGGGCGCTGCTGAAAACCTGGCGGAAGAGAGAGCCCGCGGCACGCGTGCTCCCGTTCACGCCTGAGGTTGTCGGGGCCATGGCTGGCCGAGCGCTGGAGGCAGGCTCCGTCGTCGTCGCGTGCCCCCTCATGCTTTCGAGGGCCCGCTGCGTTGCGGCGAGGCATTCGCGACGCGGGGCGGTCGCCAGCAGGCGAGCGCCCGATCGCTGAAAAGTCAGATCAAGTTTTCAGCAATATTTTAGACGGCGCTGCGCAATACCAAGACCCTAAGTTCCCTATGCGTGATGCATATGAGATAGCACAGACGAAGGTTAAAAACGTCGCAATTCCCCCAGGCGGTTCCACTGACGGCTCAGCCGGACAGGGGGGCCGATTAGGTTCACAGACGGCACAGCCTTCTAGTGACCGGGATCCAGGCTCATCGATGTCACCACCTCCAGTGCGAGGCGAGGCCGCAACACCGCCGAATGATGGTGATGACTCCGATGGCGGTGGTCCGGGGGGAATCATTGTGGGCGACGTGCCTGCGGTACCTGACAGTCGGGATTCCCAGCGAGACTCGAGACCCGATGATCGATGATGATGCGAAACAAAAGCTCGGTCTCGCTCATATAGAATACAGGTTGGATCGTCAGTCTGGCTTCTCGATTGGCTCAGCCAAGGTCGAGAGTGCCCGGGCCGGGGCAACTCCTCGCTCGAACCACACATAACTTAGACACTATGGAATGTTACGAAGACAAACGCAGTGTTGCCGGGCTCGGCAAGGATGAACTTACCGAGAAGTTGCCCTTGAAAGGCAGACGGACGATGTGCAGCATTAGAGTTGTGTTGTATTTTGATCCAGACGATGCACCTGTCACAGGAGTCTGGGTCACCGACCCAGACCCACGATATGGCGCCCGATGGCTTAAGAAATTACCTGGTTCCACCAGCCCGGGCATTCACCAAAGTCGCTGGTTCAGCATGAGCCATGCTGAACGGAAAGAAGCTGTGGAGCAGTTCCGATTCGAGAAAAGAGTTTTCGTCGGGGTTGAGGACCTGGGACCTTGCATTGCCTATCTCCGCGACACTGGAATCGACGCAGTCGACTTCCAAGATGGCACACGCGGCAACGCAGGTAGTGAACGCCCAAAGGCAATGTGCACCCTGGGGCTGAAATCCGAAGAAGAACGAAAGGATATGCGATTGTGCCAGATGAAACAGAAGTGGACTGGCGCGCGTTACTGCATCCCGCGGGGCCGGCAGAGGAACTTCACAGACACAGGCTCCGGGAGTGACCAAGGCACCTCCGATGATGAAGAAGTACGGTGGAAGCAGATTTGGCATGGTGGGACAATGCTGCGAGATGGGGTTCCTCCCGACGCAGTCGGAGAGGACCCGACACCCCCAATATCCATAATGCTTCGTGGAAAAAGCTTGACTTCGAGTCCGGCGGCCGCCGCTTCGCGACGCGGCGTGCCCCGCGCGCCGTTGCAGCCCGCAGAATTACCCCTTTCCTGCACATAGGGAAAAAGAAAGTTCGGACGCATAATATTTGCACAGCCCGCTCGCTGATGATATTCGAATTGCTGAACAAGCTTATCAACTACCTACTGAGTTGAGGTAACCACGGGCAGCTGCGGCCGTCGCTCGACCAGTGTCCAAAACTGAAACCGCGGTCAACCAAGATGCCCGCAAATCACTGCGGACCGAATAGGATCGGTTGCGCAGCATTGGCACTTGGGATGAGTCAGGCGCGATGGAATGCAACGGTGTCGGTCGGCAACGAAAAGGGGAAACGACACATTTCGGACGCCTGTTCGCAATTCTGGTGGAAAAGAACTCGGAGCTCCCAGTGGGGCACAAAATCCGCAAATATAAAGGCCGAGTTGTTTTTGATGGGTCGGGCGCCAGAGATTAGAATAGAGAAGTAGCCCTATTGCAGGCACTTTCTAGCAGTCCTGCAACGACGCAGGCCAGCGCAGCAGCAGATGCGCACGGCCTGTTTGAGGATGTGACATTCAACAGGCCGACGCAAATCAGGCTTGCACTCAGTCCAAGCTAGGGGGAACCCCGACATGGATCTTCCTGCCGAGAGACGGGTGGCCGCCTGCTTGGAAAGATATGAGAAGACCGTATGTCCCTTCATTCTTTCATTTTACGGACATCCTGATTATGGTGGATACTGGGGGCAGCATTGCGAGGGACACGTGATTTCCAATGGTTTCATTACATGTAGTCCATGGCATAGTTGTTACTTCCACACGAAACTGCCCTTGTTTCGTACATTTATGTCGACGATTTCAAACTTGCCGGGCCAAAAGCGGATCTCGAAAAAGGGTGGCGACTTTTGCAAGAAGCCTCCAGAGGTTGTCCCAAAGGAATAGAGATCGACTCACCAACCAAGGTAGGACGTTATCCTGGGGTGTGAACATCATTTGTCCACGCTGTGCGTGAATGGCGGGGAGAGTTACCAACTGCCCTTGATCCCCCATTGCCAAAGGGACAGAAAGCATCCGCCTCTGAACTATAATTGGAGAGCGGCGACGAGAATGCGGGGGGGGGCTCATCGGCACAGCCGAGCGAGCCATATCAACCTAGACAGCCGAAACTTGTCAGAGCCATTGAGTATGTCATGACTGAGTTCTTTGAATCCTGTGCAACACGCGATGCGCAGTCAACCGATACGGGCCCTGCTACAGACCCCGCTGCTGGCACCCCCTTTGGCCCTGACTTGACTGACCTCAGGGTGGTCCGAGAGGAGAAAAGCACTCCCCGGCAGAGGAGGCTATAGCAGCGGCACCCGGGATTCATGTTGACACAGGGTCCCCAGACAAGCCAGTCGAGGTTCCCGGCTTAGGCGTGGAACCCGGACCAGACGACCTTGAACAGCCGACCCCGTCGGGAGTCCTCCAGCAGATTGCTGCCAAAGTTCTCATGCAAATATTGCTTGGTGCACGAATGGCTCGGTTTGACCTTTTTGCGTGCGGTTTGTCATGCGGCCAGTTGCATAACGAAGTGGACTGAACAAATGGATATGGATCTTTTTAATTGATATGTTACATAAAGTCCACATCCCGATGCACAATGACGTCTTGGGTAGGCGACAACATGGGGGATGCCACTATACGACAGTATTATGATGCAGACCTTGCCAGCGATTTGCGCACGCATCGCAGCACGAGTGCGAGCCGCCAGGTAATTTGGGCACCATGCACGAGAGCCAATCAGAGCATGGCTTCTCGACGACAGTCTTGCGTGTCCCCCAGCGCACTTGAGGCAGGAATTGTTGCTGCGGATCTGGCTTTACGATTTGGATTACTGCCAGTTCTGCCGTTGCGGGAAATTCTGCTACAAGGAGAGATCAAATGCACATTCATGGAAGATAATCAGGCGGTATGCAAGGTGAAAAATTCGGGGGGCTCGATGAAATTGATGCACCTTCCGAGATCCTACCGGATAGATGCTGCTGCCATCTCTGAACAATGTACCCGTGGAGTTGTTAGTTTACAGTACGGACGCACGCAGAATGAGGCCGCTGATGTAGGTGCCAAACGTTTTACCGACCGTCTTGCATGGGTACAAGTGTTTTACATGGTTAATATTGTTACCCCGAAGTTTTGGGAAGTCATCGATATCAAGACTATCTCGCATCGATGTTCACTGACGGCCTTCCCTTGAAACCCGGGGGGATCCTCAAGCCACGGATAGGTCCGAAGGCTGCGGTGCGTCAAGGAGGTGCGGTGCCGAGCACGAAGATACATGAAAAAAAGAGAATCGCCAAAGGCATGCCCGTGACGGCCGCCCCAATGAGAGACATAAGAGACGCGGCCAAAATAGCAGTTACTTCATCAGGCGGCAAAGCCGGACCTGGTGAAG